TCCCTTGGCACAACTGAAACTCCTTCTGGATCGAAACCAGTGCTATACTAGCTTGGGAGAACAGTCCGAGAAAGCCTCAAACGGTACTGTAGATCCAACGCTCCTTCAGAGCAAATCAGTACAAGGGCTATCGTGGATCAACCCCCCTCCCCCCTCAATCTCAGCGAATATTCCATTCTTCCGGAGTTGATTTTTGCTGCCAGCACGCATTGGTGGGGAAAACGTTGACTTTTACCTGAGAAGGGCCCGACAGTCATTGTCCATGGCAAATCGTCAGAATATCACTGTGATTTTGAGCGGAAGTAGAGTGCATGGGAGTCGATTCCATACTTTATGACTACGATTTGTTAACAGAAGGCTCAAGTAACCTCAAATGAATCTGGTGACAAGTTTGTCCTGCCAGGTGCGAAATAGCCCATTGGAGACTGATAGTAAACAAACAGAAAAGCTGGATCACAAGAAAGAAGATTTCTTAGGACATCACATGTACTCCATATCACGCAGAAAGGGTGGGCGTGGCCGCGTGCTCTACTAGAAAGTGACGGCGACTGCGCTCTTGGTGGGATTGCTGTTATGGGGCGATTGTCACCACGTCTTTGTCCAGGATGTTACCTCACTCACATCAGTTACGTCGCAATATTCCACGGAAACAGTACACAACCACGCCCTCTCCATCTCCAGGATAAGGAGTGAGAGTCATTCATTCATTAAAACACAACAGGAAGTAGAACAAACAAGATAGCCGCTCTACATCGAGAACACTTCATATTCTGCCGTTAGGAAAAACTTTCCGAAGTACGAACCTCCCTCCCGTCAAATTCCATCTGTGGGACGACCCACTTCCCTATCCTACCTGGCATCTTCTTGAATTCTCCCGCATTCTACCAATTTTTTTCTCCGGTTTTTTCCTTAAAAAATTCAAAAGGGAGGGGTACACAGTGCGACGGCAAATAGTTAAAAATCAAGGACCGAAAACGTTTTTTTCGGGGGCAGTTGCCGTTCCCCGCTCTTTGTGGGAATCACCAAAGTGCTCTGCTTGATGATAGGGAACCCAACCGAACACATCAATAAACATCATCATTTTTATTCAATACAAATGGTAGTTGTGTCGAAGTCATCGATCTGTTATAACTCTTGCCACTAAAATTTCCAGTAGTACTCGTTTTTCATAGCAATCCTGCCTTTGCAGCAGTAGCTGTGACCTTTTGTAATTTTTTTGTGTCATCTTCTCGTAATTTTTTAACGCCTTGATAGTGCTTATCTGTTGCGATCATCGGTGCTGAGCGAGCGGAGATAGGGGTGAACGGTTTTTCTGCTCCACGATTTATTAATGAGACATTCACCACGTTCGTAATCACGCCGCATAGATCGCTTATTCGCTTAACCGTCTCGGCAAAGACCATAGCACTCGTCCTTTTCAGCTGAGAAATTGGAATGAACGACGATGAATGCGATCGTTTACGGAGTCTGCTTCGACTTTCCAAAGAACCAGGCATTCCTGATGGGGGACAGGTTCGCAAAAGTAGTTTTCCTGCAGTCTTGTTCGCTGCAGGTGCTGGGGCGTAGCATGCCAACGACGGACTGAGTTCTATGGACGCCGCGGCACGCCAGCACCGTTTTCTCGCCAGCCCTGTCTGCCAGGCCCATTGGTTTCACTCTTCCAACCAATTGAAGAGAACGGGCTTGGCTCGCGTAGCCATACACAGCCCCCAGATTACGTTCGAGCATCCGCAGCAGACGATTCTTATCCTGCACCTGCCGAGGAAAATGTTGGAGGTTGATGAGTTTCGAGGCGCCGTTGCTATAGAGTGCTGATTTGCTTCTCGATGGACGCACAAGACGACTATAAGTCGTTTCTGTGTATTCCGAATCGACTGAGATGAGAAGGCATCCAGCGAAGAGGGTGTGTTTCCCGGGTGGAATGCGTGACGCTGATGAGAATCTACAGGAGACTGCTATCCGAGAAGCAGAAGAGGTTGGTGCCATCGTTCTCACAATAAGCGGGCATTTAACTAGTGAATTAGATAAACAGGTGAATAGATAATAACTAAAAAATTAAAAGAATCAATAAGTACATAAATAAGGTAGTTTTGAAGCGAAAAGACGAGGGCGCTTAGAAGCGATCGTGGATTAGACCAAGGAGCAGACTAATTGTACTTCTATCCGAAGCTGTAGGGGAGGAGGACTAGCTTTGAGGTACTTGACGGATAATCAAACTTCCCGAGGTTGGATTCGCGTTTCACAAAATGTTATCAGAAAATATTATCAGAGTGCAAAACGGCTTCCGGAATTGCCAGTTTACGACGACGGAACAAAGACTGCTTCCGAACTGGTCCTCACAAAGATCACTGTGGCAGTTCTCAGCCGATATTGAGGATTCAGGATGAGGGATTCCTTATCGAGTAATGTTGTACTTGTGGTGAGAGCCTCTTTTAGGGGAAGGGTTGTTGCAGTGGGCGTCGGCAAGTTGCAAACGAAGGTGGGGTTTGCAGGTGAAACGGAAAGAGTGTAGAAATTTTGAGGAATATGAAGGACTATTAATGGCACTTAAACAGTTCCTCCACTCGGTCGACGAGTTTTTCCAAGCAAAGCGAGGCCGAGTTAGGCTGAATTCTGGGCCAAAAAATGGGCTGAGGTCGTAACAGGACAGTGGTGGTGGGGTGACCGACATGGTGGCTCTATGCGATACCTCGTGATATACTCATCCTTGATTCGAGTTTCTAAGAGAGAAAGGGAAGTTTGGAAATAAGGGGACAATCGCCGTCCCCTTATTTTCAAATCGATTGAAGAGGGTCGCGCTAGGAAGGGGAGGGGGTAGGGACGAGTTGAGCGATTTGTTTCTCCCCAGTGGCGTATTCTGTTTCGCAATAAGGATCAGATAGATGCGATGGAAATATGTGTATCTAAATATGTACGTGTGCAGTTTCGAATGGCAGTCATGTACATGGCGCAACTCAGAAGTATTGATAGTGAGATGAAGTTGATTCGAGCTTAGAGCCAGAGATTCCTTGGATTAATTTTTGATGTTGTACCTATTTTTCGAAGAATATTTCATGTAGGTGGCAGACGGTCGAAGATTTGTGAAAGTTCCCCAAATTGAAGAAAAGTGGGTTATTTTTCTGCAGTCAGATCCCTTCTGGAAATAGACTACCGCTTGATAAACAAAAACTCCCAGAAATAGCTGGAAGGAGAAGCGAGAGATGAGATGAAAGTGAGCTTGGACTGGACCAAGTTTCAGATGAGAAACTCCCATAGAAGAAACCAGAACGGCATGTGTATAGGCAGTTGCTTCGTATAGACGGTGACATGAGTCATGGGCCGACTTCCCGTGGGACTGGCTGTCGTGATCTGAATGAGAAGCGGAGACACTATCGCGAAAACGGAGTGGTAGTTAGGGCCGTCTGATGACGATCGTAGAACTCGCCTAGCTGAGTTCTATCCCAACTAATGTTCAGGGCACGTCTGCCCGATGACACTCAATTGAAGTCATAAAGTATGCACTTATCGACCAGAGCTCGGCTACTTAGCGCCAGAAGCCCTTCGTGTCACTAAATGGATTGGGTCCAGTAATTGATAATCTGTGGGAGAGGTGCGAGGGAGAAGAATGGCCGTGAATGGAGTCGTTAGGGAATCTTGAATGATGGCTGCCCTAGCACTTGACGGCCCCCGTATATCCCAGCAATGTCCCATATATTCTGGTAGGCTCTTCTATATAACCCTATCAGAGAAAATTGTGCTAGAAGGCGCTGTTGGGCTTGGAGGGGGCATTGCGCACTTTCGCTAGTTCATTTTGTTAGTTAATGCACTAACAGGTCTCCAAAATTTGCATGGTCATTGATCGAAAAATTCACAGGACTTGGACAGGGGGCAAGCTGTAGTGAGTCCTTCTTTTGCCCCCGAAAAGTCGTACTTGCGCCGTGGAAAAAGGGGAGTACTAGTGACATTAGAAGACGGGATACATTCTTAATTGGCAAGTTGCCTTGGTGGGGCCAACTGAAGGGAAGAAATGGCTCATGAGATTGTGCAGCAGGCCCGGCTGTGAATACGTGCAAATTCTGTTATAAGTAGCCCTACTCGAACGATTTCGCGTTCACAAGGAAGTTTACAGCTCTGATCAAGTGAGATCTGATGACTGAATGGACCATAAGAAGGGTGAGTAGCAAAAGTCCAAATGTCCTCAAGGCAAACTGTGCCCCGATTTCAAGGTACTGTCAATCTTTTAAGGGATCTGGTACCAAACCCAAATCTCAGATGGAGGACACTGCTTCGCTCTGTCGAAATTCTACTAAAACTTTGGTACGGGGACAGAGGTGTAGTGGCATTTGAATGTGACCCAATAGAGGTTCAGAGAGGAAAAACTAGCAAAAGTTACGGTGGCTCTCAGTAGCGAGATCCAAAAAGATTCAGGAGAAAGTCTGGCTGATGGCGCGAAGGCAATTAGTCACGCGGACATTGCATCCACTTCATGTCATTAACAATTAATGTAGGATCCTATGAGCTCGTGAAGGTCTGCTGGAAAGAGCCCTTGGGAGCTATTCGGCTTGGAGAGATGTTTCGCAATCCCGCTATCGCTCGTTCATTTTGTTAGTTCATCTCAAATAACAGGTCTTACTTTAGAGACACTTGTAAACTTCTGCGAAGCTGGGACGAGTGAACCACTTTGTCACAGGGATTCACAGGTTTTCACAAGGTGGCCTGTACAAGCAAGCTGAGCACCATTCGGTGTCCCCACCAAACCTTGTCGCACTGAACCTTGTCCGAAGGTTTTGAAAACTAAAGACAAATGCGTACACTGCGTATCCCAGGAATGAGAAGTCCATGAATATCGACATGAACCAAACGTAGCGGCAGCTGCGCTTCTGAAGGGATACTGCAGTTTCAAAACAATTACGACCATTCCTTTGTTCTACACAAGATAGGGTAAAACTTGCATAAAGTGGAAATATTCTGCGAACAACGCGTCCTACGCCTTGTTTAAAGACAGCGCCCGCGATCGTCTCACAGGTTGTAGAGCTTAGAACCATTTGGTCATGTTGTTATTCTAAGTACAATGCTAAAAGAAAAAAAGCAAAAGAAACCGTTGAAAATGCCCTAAAAAGACCTCATGTACGGATTGAAAATAGACGAGTTAACCAGATTTTGGGCGAGTTCTCTGAATCTAATCGCCACTTGCTGCGACTCATTCTCAAGGCATATTCGATAAGATTAGCAATTATCACCGCTAACGAATCTTGGTAATGAAAAAATGATCGAAGTGGAACTTGTTGACTCCGCCTTCATAGGCGGAGTCAGCTTATCGTTGAGCTGTCGTGCTTTTATCAAGCGCTTTTGAGCCGCGAAAAAGGGATATCCGCTGTGATCACAAGCTCCGCCATCTTGTACTCTAAAGGATTTCTGCACGTTGGTTGATCGCGGACGCTGTCTTTAAGTGAAGGACGCAGCCACGCCTACCCCGTCGCAGGGATGTTGAATGTATATTGAGCGCAGCAGGAAGAAATCTAGGCGCAGTTCGGCTAAGTGGGCTCTGTTTTGCTGGTTTCCATGAATCTCTACCGGTGACCTCCTGTGGAGACCTGTGAGTTCTTGTTAAGGTGTGGAATAGTGCTTTGCCGAGTCGAGCTTTGCTCACACTTGACAAAAGTCTACAAGTTTCACCAAGATGAGACGCGTAGATTAACACGAACTAGTAAAAGAAGTCAAAGTGAGATGTTCCCCCTAGGCCAACACCTGAATAGGCTCTTTGGAAGAAGCCCTCTCAGTTCCTTAGAGTTCCAAAAGCTTCTACAAGAAATGCAGGGAGGAATAAGAAAAGTAGGGGATAAGAATATCGTCATACAAGTTGAGAAGCAGTTCATTATTTTGAGAATAGTAACGCAGCTGAAGTGTGGAAGAAAGTTGACCCCATAAGAAAGAATCAAATACGTCCTACATATAGCTATATAGACAGAATCTTTCGCGACCAAGCCAGCAACAATCAGATGGACATCTGAGGGCCACTCAAGAGCACTTAAAGGCGTGAGTTCTATGAATTGAGTGTAAAGAGCACTTGTTGAGTTACGAGGATTTCAGCGTCCTCAACAGCAGCGCCGTGGTACATTTATAAATCTATTGAAGTGTCGTTGCGGAGCTATTTTGAAAGTGCTTTTCTTATAGAATCTCGAGAGTGAAGTGAGTCGTTCACTGCTTGAGAGCCCATGGTTGAACTTGCGGGTTCTGAGGCAGTTGCAGGGATCGTAAAGATTGGTAAGAAATGTACTGGCGCTGCGCCAAACCCGGTTCCTTGACTCATACAGTGTTTTCAGCGAAATCGACTATGTAGGATAAGCAGATAAAGCTGGTAAAAAGGAAAGCTGTGATTTAGGCCGTAATCCAGAGTTTCAAGACAATCAAAGTCGGTAGTGGTTCTGGGCGGGCTTATACCGTACCTACACTCGAAATCATTGGATGAGGTAGGCGTGGCTGCGTACTTCAACTAAACGTCGTGGTGGCTATGCTTTTGGAGAGATATTTTCATTTTGACCCAAATGTGGTCACGTCTCTGTCCAACAAAGAACAAGATGGCGGTTGTCTCAAATTGAAATATCCCACGAGTAACCAGTTATGTCATGTTCGATGCCACGCCTACCCCGGCTCAGGGATAAGGAGTGTAGTGTACTGCTGCATAGTACAACCGCGAAGGAGAATTGAGCGTTATCTGGTCAAGGGAGAGTATAAAAAGGAACTTGAAGGGCCTTGGGATCACCTGTAAGGCGAAAATTATCGAGGCTATTCATTGGAGGGGAAAGGGAGCAGTTTGGCTCGGTGGGGGCACCACATGGTATTCAGCGACACTTGTACAAGTCCCTTCGTGAAGAACTGTAAATTCCTAAAGCCAAAGTGGCTGACGAGGGTTTACTGGTCCCACTAAAGTAAGACCCGTTAGTCAACATGAATTGGCAAGAGGAACTAGCGAAGGTGCGAGAATGCCCACCTATACTCCCCCCCCCCTCCCCTGCCCGTAATCCAAGCAGCACCTGAAGAAAGCTAGGTAGATGAAAATAGACGTGGCTGGTGCATATAGGCACAACCCGCACGAAGGCATAATGGGAAAAGGGGTTCTAATAAGCTCTTATGAGCGGTAACAAGCCTGCCAGTGAGGAAAAAAGCAAAAAAGCCGTCGAAAACGCCCTAAATAGAGCCCCTCGTGAATAGCCCGTCGTCCTTGTGGATGGACTTTGTCTTCGAGGACGGCTTTAAACTGAAAATCAACTCGAGCGGCAAAGCTGTATTCGACAAAAACTTGTCAGACAAAGAAAATAGAACCAGTAGAGTGCAGAGCGGGTTTCGAGGGCCAAAAGGATCACAATGAGGGATGGAAGCGGAGAGGAAAAACGG